AAAATAAAAAAATTTATTAAAAAAAAAAAAGAACCTGCCTGACAAGCGTAAGGTCTTAAGTTTAAACCTTGGTACCTAAATTAATTAATTAAGATACATATTAAAAATAGGTACAACTCTTGAGCTAAGGCAGGCAAGGACGCTGCGGACAGAGCTCCAGCTGCAAAAAGAAGTAATACCAAGAATCAACAAATAGGATTATATCGAATTGAAAAGCTCCTTCCCAGCAAAGGGGCTGGAGTGAGCAGACAACCTACGGGATGGGAGAAGTGCTCGCGGCTGCGCCTGGACGGACGCAGGCCTCGTACCTAGAACATATACGGAAGTCACCGTCATTCACAGCGGGCGGGCCCTTCCGGGACTCTGCCCCCTGAGGTACCGCACTTGGAGACCCTGACCACAGGTGCTCATGGGGTCTTCCCACCTGGTGGCCCCTGCCTTCTGCACCCCTCCCTATAAGGGGTTGCACTTCCCTTGTCTGTGGCAGGAGGTGTTGTCGCTCTCTGCCTGAACCCAGACACAATGAATTCCACGCAGTTGCCTTTGCGTGAGTCCGGTGGTCTCTGCTGCTTATTTCTGTTACAGTGGGGGTTGAACTCAGGGCCCTGGGTGTGCCGCTGCGTGCTTCCGTGTGCTAGCTACACCCCCAGCCCTCCCGTGAGTTTTATTTTGGAACAGGGTCTTGCTGATTTGCCCAAAGTGGGCTGGCACCTGCAGCCCTCCTGTCTCAGCCTCCCGAGTAGCCGGCATTATTGGCACCCCCCCCACATTCAGCCCCCAAGAGAACTGCAGGGCTGGGGGTGCTCAGTGCTGGAGCACTCATCAGTGTGCAAGAGTCCTGGCTTGGATCCCCAGCACACCCCCAAATTCAGGGGCTAAGAAATGCTTTTTAAATTGACTCAGGAGAGTCACAGCTTCCTAACAAAGTCATTGACTGCAGTGTCAGACTTTAAATAAGGTGGAAAACTGGTGATGAAGATTTTAAAAAGAAAAGCCAGTGGTAGAGAGGACGACAGGTTGCTAGCCTCGAGCCAGCCTGGGTTGGTGACATCTTCAGATGCAGCAGGAGAACCTCCTTCCCCTTTCCGAGTTGGGTGAGGGGCCCTGTCTCTATGGAGACATCTGTGATGCCACACATGGCTCCAGGTTCCCCGCGGAAGGAGTTTGGAAGCCGGCCTCCTCCGGCCTGGGGGACACGCTCTGTCCTCCGCTTGTACCTTCCCAATGTTTCTGAAGCGGAACAGCGGGTCAGAGAGGCACAGTGTGAGCCTGTACCCCCTCACCCAGGGCCTGCGCACCCTGCACAGTGTGGCTGGCAGGGACATGTGGAGCTCAGAGCAGAGGCTGCGCCAGGCCACCCACGGCCTCGGGAGGTCCGCGCTGGCCATGTGCCGCTACTATTCAAAGATGGTAGGGCCTTATTCCGCCTCCACTGTGATGAGAGGGCCAGCGTCTAGGACTGCAGCCACCCCGGGCCCCTGCAGGCCTTGGCTTATTCCCAGCCCTCACTCTGAGGCCCGCCTTGGCTCCCACTTGCTCTGGACAGAAGAGGCCACGTGTGCCCAGACTTCTTTAGGGTGAAGGGTGAGGGCCTCAGCCTCATGGGGTCCTCTGCTGAGTGGCCTGGGCACAGAGCTGGGTGTCCCAGCCTGTAGGGAGCAGGCTTCTCGCTTTGGCTCTCTCTTGGTCACTGTCCCTGATCCCATCCTCCAGAATGTGCCCCAGGCTGTCCCCAGCCTCCAAGGCTTCGTGTTGGAGATGGAGAAGATGAAAAGGGCATTCCTTGCCCGGCCCGGCTGCCCCCAGTTTAGCACCAAGGCCACCTCCGTGTCCCAGCTGGGTAAGAGCCGACTACAGGGCCGCTGGGCCAGCCCTTGCCCCTCACATCTTGGCCTGTAGTGCTTCCAAAATCCAACGGGCACGGCAGGGCCAGAAGAGGAGGGTGTTCCTCAGTCTGTTGGTCTCCAGCCACTGCCGACCTGCCAGTCCTCCCCTCCCCCAATGTGTCCCCTCCCCCAACCCTTACCACTTCCTTCTTCCCCTCCTTCCCAGTACTAGGACTGGGGATTGAACTCAGGGTCTTTCCTCTGAGCTCTGTTTGTCTTTCTATCTATCTATCTATCTATCTATCTATCTATCTATCTATCTATCCACCTATGTATCTATCTATCTTTTTCACTTTGAGATGAGGTCTTGCTAAGTTGCTCAGGCTAGTACTGAATATGGGGTTATCCCGCCTCAGCTTCCCAGAGTGCTGGAATGACAGGCGTGTGCCCCCAGGCCCAGGTGTCTCCCAGCCCTCTTGCTTTGTTATCGCCTCCTTCTCTGAGATTCGGTGGGGCCAGGGGGTGCAGCCAGCAGGAGGAAGGTGGCCCAAGGCCAAGGCACCAGCCCAGCAGGCGCCCGTGGCCTCTTACCCGAGCCCGTGTGCTGACCGTGCTGTCCTCATGGTGGAGACCTGTGGGTCCTGCCCTGGGGGCTCAGGCCGTCCCCTCCTCTAGGAGCTGCTGTGCGCAGCTGCAGAGGCCTCGGATTGGGCGCCCCATGGCACGGGGTGGGGCCTGCTTGCTCTGAGGGTCACACAGTGGTGGAGAACAGAGCCCACACTCTGATTCCTCCTGCTGTTCGCTCTGTGCATCCTGGAGATGTCCCTGCACCTGCTGGGGGTCCCAGCTGGGTGACATCACAGGTCTGTCTCTGAAGGGCTCAGAGGGAGTACAGCTCGGTCACTCCTGGCACCCTTGCCCCCCAGGTTCGGGGTCTTCCATCGAGCTGCCCAGGTTGGGTGGTGAGGACTGGCTCCTGGACCGGCGGGACTCGGACCCGAGTATGGATGGTGAGGAGGCTGGGCCACTTTCACACGGAGGGGCCACCTGGATTCCGGGACAGGGGCTCCTGCCTATGTCAGCCAAGGACATGGCCCTCAGCCTGGCCTTTGTCTCTCACCCAGATGCCCACAGCGGCATCTCCTGGGGCAGGGAGGACCGTGAACGCACCTCTGATGGTGAACGGCTTCCTCTGCCAACCAGGACATCCACACTCACGGGTCCCTCTTTGCTTTCAATCCTGAACTGCGCCCCTGGGGCTCAGAAGGTGGTGAATGCGCCCACTTCCTCCTTCATCCAAAGTCGGGCACCAAGGGCACAGGAGGGCTGGGCCCAGGATGCACAGGGCAGCATCCGGTGGCCCTCCTGCTGAGGGCCTGTCACCACCAGTCCCCTCCTGAGCACAGTGCTAGGTTGCCGGCTGTACAGCTATCTCTCCCAGCGACCCCCCTCCAAACAACGCTGACTTCGATGCCCCTGGGCAGATGTGGCCTCGGAGAGGGCTGGGCGGGGGCTGGTGTCGCTGAAGCTTCCTTGTCACCAACAGTGCGCACCCTCCCGGGCAGCAAGAGCGCCTGCGAGCTCAGTTCGAGGAGGAGGAGCTCGGCCCAGACCCCGAGCCCCACATCCAGCAGTGCGGTCTCCAGCCACAGGCCGCCCTGGTACATCTCGGTCATCCACGAGAAGGTACGGCTCCTGTGCAGGGGTCCTGCCACAGCTGCTGGTGGCCTCCAGAGACAGCTCGGGGCAGATGCCCTGAGAGCACCCGGCCCCTACCTGTCCTCCTGCCCGCAGTAGCAGCTCCAGCTGGCCCCAAGCTCGTGAGCATTTAACTCTGACGTGAGGTCTTGGTGTCGAAGTCGCTCCAGGTCTCATTTTGTAAAACCCTGGCCCCTTTTTCTTTGTATATGGCCTCTGAAAGAAATTTGACAACTGGGGTCTTTTCTCCCCTAAATAGAATTCACCATGAAGCTGTCTACGTGTGGAGGTTTCTTACAGGAGAGGTTTTGTGACTATAATTCTTCTACAAGACAGGAGCCCTCTCCCTCTCTTTCCTTCTTTCTAGACAGGGTTTGCGGTGTATTCCAGGCTGGCCTTGAACTCAGTATATGACACAAGCTAGCTAACCTGCAGTGGCCCTCCTGCCTCAGCCTCCTGAGTGCTGGGATGACAGGCGTGTGCTACCACACACAGCTTCCACTTCCTTTATTTGTGGCTCCTGGAATGGAACTCAGGACCTCACGCGTGGCAGGCATCCAGCTTCCCCTTATTTCGGGCTGATAGGCTGCACATTTCAGCAACCTGCCTCTCTGTGTAAATCTCCAGCTTCCTGGGCTTTATGCTGGGTGGAACCTGAGGGCAGCCCTGTGGTGCCCTGCCTGTCGCCTGGGCCAGGAAGACTTTGCTTTCTCGCTGCACTACAGTCCTGGCTTCTCCCACCACGCTAGAGGCTCATCTCTTCCACGTCCCCTAAGCAGAGTCTGCTGGCCAAAGGAAGCATGTGAAGACTGGGACTCTGGGTGCTTCACGGGGTCCGTGGGGAGCTGTGCTCCTCTGGGTCCTACGGGTCCCAGAAGGGTGGAGCTGTGACTGCCAGGCCCCCTCCGCCCTTTGAGCCAGTCCTCAGTGTTGGCAGCCAAGAGCTGGTAGAGAGCCCTACAGCTCCAGAGGAAGGCAATGTCGGCCGAAAGCAGGGCCCTCGGGCAGGCACTCAGCGAGCGGCGGCTGCGGTCTCCCTGGCACTGGGCGTCTCCACCTCTGCCGCCTCTGCCCCGGTTAGGTCCGCGGCAGCATCACTTGATGTCAAGTCCAGAAATGCTGTGGCATCAGACTTCCTGCTTCCAAACTGCCCCTGTCTCTTTCCCAGGGGACATCCCTTTCCAGAAGCAGCCCAGGACAAAATCACAGGGACCAACGTGAAGAGGCGCACAGCAACCACTGTCCTTCAGCAGAGCAGGGCGTGAGGGGGCCCAGACCACAGGCAGCAGTGTCCGTGGGGAGGGGCTGCAGGCCTGGCTGGCCCAGGCACGGGCTCTGGCTTCCCGAAGCCCTTGGAGCTGGCAGCTGTGGACGCAGCCGCCACTGATGACTGGCACCTGTGCCTGCGCCCAGTGTCACCAGGGGAAAATAAGCGCAATGACTTCTGCATCCGCAGACCCTTTAGACTCCCCAGAGTGACACTGTCATGCCAGGCATCCTCATCCCAGCGCTCAGGAGGCTGAGGCAGGGGGGGCCACTGCAAGTTCAAGGCCAGCCTGGGCTACAGACCCAGACCTGTCTCAAAAAACAAAACCAAACCAGAAAAAAAAATCACACCAATGCCCCCCGCGGGCAACTCGGCCTGTCCTCTCCTCTCCTCCTCCCCGCATCTGGGGCATCACTGCTCCAATCCTCCTACTTCCTTTAGGTTTCCTTTGCAGTCCGTGCGGCCCTTTTCACTGTTCTCTTCCCATTTTAAAGTTCTTCCCCTCCGTGTGCCTCGCCCACGTGGAGCTGGCGCCCCGCAGAGGCAGTTTTATCCCTCTCTCCCCCTTCCCTCCTGCCTCTCCTGCCCTCCAGCCTTGATCCCTGCCCTCTTCAGCAAATCTCTGCCTCCTGGCTTCCGGCTTCCGGTCAGCTACCTTGTATTTTTGGTCTTTGGGTGAATCTACTTTCCTATGATTGCCCCTTGGTCATCTTTCTTCATGGCAGCATAGTACTCCACAGTGTGTGAGCACCCCATTTTCTCCAATCATCTGTCCATGGATACAGGCTGTTTCTCATAAACGTGTAGGTGCGCGTGGATCACTCCAACATGTCTTTCATTCCTGCTTTGATCACCGCATTTGCTGGGTCCCCCAAGTTCTGCTAGAGCCCAAGGCTGCTCTCAGTCAATCCTCAACATTTCCCAGGTTCCCTTCTGATTTCTTCTGGGCCCAGGAGCCAAACAGAACCTTGCACTTCGCCTGCAAACCTTTAGGGGGGTTTTAGCTATCTTTCCTTCCGGAATATCCTGCCTCGGGTTGTTTTCCTACCGCCTGGAGAATTTCCTGTCATTTCTCCAAGCTCAGATCTGCCGGTGACAAATTCTTTGAGTTTCCGTTAAGTTAGGGCTGCCGGGCAATGGCCTGCAGCCGGCTGGGCCAAGTGCTGGCGGGCGCTGCCCACGGCGGGCCTTCCTGGAGAGGGACTCAGATTTGGGGTCTGCTCCCAGAGGCGCAGCCGCAACGGGGACCAGGGCTTTGGCTGCCGGAGAGGGACTGAGGGGCGCCGGGATGCGGGGGGAGGAGGCGGGGTCCGGCGGCGCCACGCCCAGGCTGCGGGTTTTCCCGCCAGGAGCGCTCCCTGCTGGTGCTGGGAGAGGAGATGCGGCGCTTCTCCGAGCTGGAGGCGAAGCTTCAGAGGAAGGATGAGGAGATCCTGGCGCTGCAGAGGGAGATGGAGGCCCTGCGGAAGCAGCTGAAGTGCGTCCTGCGCAGCAAGGCCCTCGAGACCCCGCCCTTCCCGTCCCGGAGGGTGAGCCGGCCCCGGGCCACGGTGCTCCCCACGCGTGCGCCTCCCGGCGGATCCCAGAGCTCTGGAGCGCGGGCTGGCTCTGGGCGCCTGCGGACAGGCCCGAGAGCAGGGGCGCCAGGCAGGGGCCGGACGCGTGCAGACTTCGCAGCCCCTGGACGCTTTCCGGCTGGGCCTCCCCACCCCAGGCCAGGCCCCACCCCCACCCAGCCATGAACCCCTTCTGCCACGTCCTGGCCTCTGCATCCCGCTCTGGGGAGGGCCGGGGCCGCTGAGCCCCTGATCTTTCTTCCACGTCCCGAGCACAGCTCACACTTGTGCGGCACAGATGCCAAGTAGGAGCAGGCAGGGAGCTGGGGGCCCGACAGATGCCCTGGACACCAGTGGCCCCACAGACATGCGGGGCCCCATCCCCTCTCCAAGATTATGAGCTGGTATGGGCAGAACGACCCTCTGTGACATGCCAGGTGTGCTTGTTTGTGGCTGGCACCCCTCGACTCCCCAGATGAGCATGCCCACCCTGAGGCTGATCGCAGGGGCTGTTCCTTCGGCAGACCCCATCCCACTCCTCCCTATCTGGACCCTGGGGGCTACCGCCCCTTCCAGGACCGCAGTTCCCATCCAGGTGTCTCGCAGGAGTCACCCTTGGAGGATGGGCTGGCACCAGGGAGGCTGACCGTCCTGAGGACCCACACGGACCAGGAGGACCTGCAGCTCCCGGAGCAGGTGTGGCTCAGGGGAACAGCGTGGGTGGCTCGGGCGAAGCCACCCGGCTGCCCTGGCCTCCTCTCCTCTGGGGCTGCCCTGGGCATTTCGAAGGGCTCCTAGTTCACAGTCCCCGCTGTACGACGTGGGGTGGTCCTGCCAAGTGCAGGTGAGGGCTGGGTCAGCTTGATCCCCAGGGCGTCCCGCCAGACCCCAGCTCACACCCTGCTCACAGCTAGAGCAAGGCTCCCTCTAGGTCCCCTGCCCCAGGACATCCGCCTCCCTGCCCAGCTCCCCTTCTCCCCTCCCCCAGAAGGAAGTGGAATACACCCTGCCCAAACTCAGCAGGGAGCTCTCCTTGGAGCTGGGAGGTGGTGAAGAGGACCAGGTCGCTGGTGCAGAGCCAAAGGCGGCCGGGGATGCCTCAGCGAGGGACAGCGCTGGCAGCACAGGAGCCATGCAGGAGGAGGCCCAGGAAGAGGAGAAGGAGGAGTTGGAGGAGGAGGGCGAGGAGGATCTGACCCAGGAAGGGGACAGCTCCTGGGGACGGGGGTTCTCAATGACTGAGTCCTTTGAGGATGAGCTCCTGGCACAGCTGGAGGAGTACGAGCGTACGCTGCTGGAGTTCCACAGCGAGCTGGACGCCACGCGGACCGGATACTGCCTCGCCGTAGGTAGGGCAGCCACAGAGGGTGGCGGGCGGCTGACAACACAACCGGCCCTTCTTTCCTCCTCCTCCGTTACTCCTGCAGGAACCATCGGGTCCCTGCAACGGCAGGTGGCTTTTCTAGAATCCCAGCTGGGCAAGGTCAACGTGCAAAATGAGGCACTGCACAAGGAGCTCGGCGAGCGGAAGCAGCAGCTGCAGGCCATGTCCGACAAGGTGCCTGGCACAGGGCACCGCGGGTTCCTGTAGCCCTGCAGCCCCAGCCTGTGGACGTGGACTTGGGCTCAGGGCAGCCAGGAGGCTGACAGGCCAAGCTCCAGTCTGCACTGGCCTGCGGCGGCCAGGCCTTGTGCTGGCCCTGCTGCGCTCTGTTCCCTCTCTAGGCCACAGGGCCCTTGCCACCTCCCCACATCCCTGCTCCTGCACAGGCGCAGGTATGAGCTGGGCTTGTGCCGGCTGTTGCTCCAGCTGCCCTGGGGCGGCTGCGCTGGGCGGTACTCAGCCCTCCGCTTCCCAGCTGCGGGAAGGTTCTGGGGCTCTTCCTCTCTCCACACTCCCATGGAAACCTCACAGCTTCCATAGCAAAAGTACAAGCAGGGGTCTAGCATGGTGGCCGCTCTGTTCTCTCCAACCCTCTGCCCACCTTCCAGTTTTCCAGGCTCCGGGAAGATAAGAAGCACCTGGAGATGATGGGGCTGATTGAGAAGGACAACCTTGACCTCCGCCAGGTGCCCCCCGGGTGGGGCTGCAGGGTCGGCAGGGGTCATAGCCCCTGCTGCCAATCTGGATGGAGGGGCCGATGGGCAGATGAGGCGCTGTCTTCACAGCTGAGCCCAGGGCCTCTGGCTTCCGGCAAGCCCTGCTCAACCCACCTTGAGGCTGCGCTGAATGCAAGGGGCCCCTGCCAAGGTCACATCTGGCTTGGGCCCAGGAGCCCAGGCTGTCGGCAATGAGATGGGACCACGGGAGCAGCTGGGGCTGAACGGCCTCCCTGCTGTCCTTGCCAGCACGTGTGGGACCTGGAGAGCGAGCTGTCCAAGCGGGACGTCAGCATCGCAGAGCTGATCACCAAGGTCAGCGAGCTGCAGGCGCAGGTCAGCCTGGAACAGGAGCGCGCTCGGCGCTGGAAGCAGCTGCAGGAGGATGTGCGCGGCAGGACTGAGTCCATCCAGCAGGCGGAGCAGCAGGCGCGCGTGGCCCTGGAGAGCGCCCAGGCCCGGGTACACCTCCTGGGACTGGGCGATCTTTAGCTCTGGCCTGGTGTCACGGTTCTGAAGTCTTCACAGTCCGTGCAGGATGAGGGGTTTAGGGCAGAGCCTGACAACTTCCTGGCACAGGTGGAAATTGCCCACCTGGCGTCCTCAGCCTCGAAGGGGTGAGGTTCTGTAAATTCAGGGCTAAGTGACCTTGAACTGCCTGATTCTGGACAGTTACTCCCTACAGATTAATATCTCAATATGCAGAACTCAGCAGAGAGTTGACCCAAGCCCTACAGCAACCAAGGGTACAAATTGAAAGTCAAACTTGGGTCTGCTTGTCGTCACCCATTGGGCACCTGCAGGCACAAGTGAAGACTTAAGGTTCACAGCAAACACGGCATTCAGGGCCAGGCTGTCACAGGAGAAAACACAGGTCTGCTTTTCATGGGCGCAGGAAGGGCCCAGGGTTCTGCCTGCTTCCCTGTCCCTGCAGCGGTCTCTGCTGGGCTCTTGTCCTTGGAGACTGAGATTGGAGCCTGAGGATTCGGGGCTGATGGAGGGGTGTAGGACCCAGGCTGGTCACCCCATGCCCACCCCCTGCCAGTACACAGTCCAAATCTCTCATTTTCCCACACTGCTGGCACCAAGTGTGCTGCTTGGGACAGATGGGGCACCCAGTAAATCCTAGGTAGGAGAGGAGCTCTCTTCATTCAAGCCCAGCGTCACAACTGTCCCTTAAACCTGTCCAAAGGGCAAAGCAGCATAGTGGGGCTGCTGGGCAACACCAGTTCCCCGTGTGGTCCCTGACAATCCCCGCACTTGGGGCTGTGGACATGGAAGGGCAAGGAGCCAGAGGGGTGCCTGTCTAGGGCCCTGGCTGCAGGCTGGAGGGCTTCGCTGCATTCACAGATGATGAACTGGCCTGTGTGGGGGCAGGCAGGTTCCTCATGGAGGGAAATAGACGGCAGCAGAAGACTGGCAAAGCCCAACCGCTCACCTCCAGGGCTCTGTGGGCCCCCAGGGTACAACGTGGTGCCCTGGCTCATGAAAGAGGGAGGGCGGGGCCCACGAGTGGGGTTCTGCCAAGTGCCATTCAGGGACGAAATTCAGGGCCAGCCGTGCGCCCTACTTGATGGAGTGTGCCGGCGGAGCTCGGCTGGGCAGCCCAGTGGCCCTGGTCATGTGGCGCTTCCCTCAGTTGGTTTCTCATGTGCAGGTTGAGCCTTTCCAGTCCACACACAGGCAAGGGGCTGGGGGTAGGAGACCTCCCTCGGGCTTCAGTGTCTCAGGCCCACAGTCTGAGCGTCAGGGTGTCGTCCGCACTTCCCAGTGCCCAGGTGACCACGTGATTCTGCCTCCTGGGCCACGTCCCAGTCCTGAGGCCATGATGATGATGAGGCCAGGATGTTCCTTCCAGGCCTTCGGGCCTTGCACGTGGTGCTGACCTGTTTCCCCTGGGTGACTCTGTCCCTGCTTGGCCCACAGCTAGAGCGACTGAGGAGCAGGATCATGCAGGCGGCCTTCAGCGTCACAGGGGTGAAGGCGCTGGCCACAGAGATCTCTGACAATGACATTCTGGAAGCCCTGCAGGTACGTCCAACCTCCTTGTAACCCAACCCCGAGACCTGTGTCCCAGGGCAGGCAGCAGGTGGGGGGGACTCAGGACCCTGTCCCCATGCTGGCAGTGTCACCTGTGCCCTCAGGGCCATCCCAGGGGCCGCTGTGACTCAGAACCTGGAGCCTGAGCTGCTCTCAGCTGAAAGGAGGGGAAGTGAGTGATCTTGCCCCTGATTAACCTGGGGTGGAGCTGGGCCTTCAGGGTCCCTGAACCTCCTTGAAGCAGCCAGGCACTGTGGCCCAAGCAGTCCCCACCTACTGAGCTTGGGGGTGAAGGCTGCCGTGTTCCTTCACCTCTCTGAGCTGTGAGGCACCCCCTGGGGGGAGAAAGGGGTGGCTGTCTGCATGGCATGGTGGGGCCGCTTCTTTCCAGCAGCTTCTCTGTTCCCAAGGCCCAGGCTGCTTCCCCCAGGGCTGTCTTGGAGCTTCGGGCAACCATGAGTCCCTGGGGCCCAATCAGGGATGTCCATGTGGAAGGAGGGCAGTGGGGAGCGGTCCAGGACCTCTTCCTGTTGGTGATGGAGGGGACAGGGCAGGGTGCAGGACAGGGAGTGGACTTGGGGTCTGTGCTTCTTAGACCTCAGTGGGTGAGAAGGGGGCTGGGTGAGGGGCAGGCAACCTTCCCTCTGCTCAGACAGATGTGATGCCGTCAGTGTCTGGGAGTCTGAGCTCCTCACCTCCCTCAGAGGCTGGGAGAGGCAGGTCACAGCGCTTTGGGGAGCCCACGGCCCTGCCTGCTGTAGCTTTACTCCATGGCGGGGACCAGCTTGGGAGGAATGTGAATGCCACAGGAGCAGGAAAGCCCCAAGACATAGCTCTTCTTCTTTTTTTTTAAATTACAGATTTTTATTTAAAAACCTGATTTGCCAAATTAGAATTTTCTTTTCTCTTTCCTTTTTATGTATTTAGTACAGGGTCTACAGGGTCTCACTACATAGATCAGACTCTTAGTGATCCTTCCTGTTTTTCAGGCTCCCAGGCACTGGTATTACAGGTGCGCATCACCACACCCAGTCTCAATCGCCATCTCAGTGCATCCATGGGGTGAGGCTGGCACAATGCCAGGAATCGAACCCTGGCTGCCGTGCTCTGCCTAAGCAGGCGCTTTAATCCGCTGAGCTATCTGGCCAGCCCTAACAGCATTTTCTACATCTTGGGGAGGAGAAACTTTCACAGGCTTCACGCCCTACTGTGTAGGGGCCGCCTCTCTGTGGGCCTCAGCTGCGGCCGCTGCAGGCTGTTGAGGCGCTTGCTGAGCCTTTCTCCTCCTTGGCAGCCCTGAGCGCTTGCTGTCTTCGGGCCTCTCTGACTTGTGTTTCTGATTCCTCTTGGCCAGTGTACCGGGAAGAGGTGCCCCAGTGGTGGCCCTCTGGAACTTGGCTGCTCATCGTGTTCTTTGCGTCTCAATTTCTTCCGCTGTCCCTTTGTGTGCTTCTGCAGCGGACAGTCCAATTTATCGGCCGAGGCATAGCGCCTCCTGTGCTGCGTTGTTTCCCTTCACCAGCACCCAACTCTGCAGGGAGCCCAGGGACAAGCAAGGACGTTGTCCCCGCAGCCCCCGGGGTCTCTGGAATGCCTCGTAGTTTGGTCTTGTTTGTTTGTTTGTTTGGAGATGGCATCTCCCTAGATAGTTCAGGCTGGTCTTGAACTCACTGTGGAGTCCAGGCTGGCCTCCAACTCACAGCAGTCCTCCTGCCTCAGCCTCCTGAGTGCAGGGTTACAGGAATGTACCACCGCACCTGGCGCTGTTCCAGGCTCTTTGTATCGCCAACAAAGAACCAGACATGAGCACTGGAGTCGGGCTGCAGAAGCAGATGCCGAGTGAAGCAAAGGCGCAGGTGGCTCTGCGTGGGCAGCACAGTGGACGCACCCTAGCATGACACTCGGGGCTCTGCGCACACCCCTTCCACCATGCCATGAGTTGCCATCCCTGAGCACCAGGGCCTCATTGCCTCTGTCACCTACCTGAGGGCACTCTAGTGCCCACCTGTGTTGGTGCCCCTCTGGGGACTGTGGTGTGTTGTCCCGCTTTTCAGCGGCAGGAGCAGCAGCTTTAACTACACGAGCAGATATCAGAGTGAGAAGCCAGGCCGGTGGGTGTCTCCTGCAGAAACTGGCTTTCTCTGCACACCTCCTGTGCCTGGTCCCTGACCCTGCCTTTAGCGGGCTGGGAGGGCCACTCACGGCCATTTCTCCTGCAGAGGGTCATCTCAGAGAGGAATGACTACTACAACCAGCTGAAGCAGACCGGGGTCAAGGTGCCCCCGCCGCAGGTGGAGATCCTGCCCAGCAAGTCTAAGAAGATACTGTCCAAGTAGGCCTAGTGGTGGGACATGGCCAGCTGCCGGGCGGACTCCCCGAGTCTGACTACAGAATAAAACCTGGTGTGCCCTCAGCCTCACCTTTTCCTTCCCCTGTACCCAGGCCCGGGTACGCACACTCCAGCGATGGCGGGAGGCGGGCAACACACCTGCTCGAGGTCCCTGCTTGTTTCTGAGGAGACCTACACTGATCTGGGTCCCTTCCCAGCACGCAGAGTGCAGGAGGCCAGGGATGATGCCCTTGCCAGAGGTCACACCTGACCCGGGGGACCTTCTGCTGTGGGGCACAACCGGCCAGGCCACTTCCTTACTAGTGGGATCCCTGGAATGGGCTGTGTATGGCGGTATCCTCCCACCTCACCCCATAGTCCCCACGCGTTAACGTGAGCACGGGCTGCGGGCTGCGGGGGTCCAGGGCCAGGTCCCCGGCTGCAAGGATGTCTTTGCAGGTTCCCGGGGAAGGGCAGTAGAGTGTGCGAGCCAGCTGAGTCCCGTGGGGCGTCCCTGGAGCTCGAGCCTGGCCCTCTGGGCGGGCGAAGGAAGGGGCACGCTGCGGACCATCTGGCTACTTATCCCTCGGCGCTTCAATTTTGGACGCGTGTCTGCGCTCCAGCCCGGGGCCCAGGCCTGGAAGTTTGCGGCACTCCCGGGCTGCGCCCCGCCCCGCCCCGCCCCGCCCCTGAACCATCAAGCCCCACCCTCAACCCCGCCCCGCCTCCTAAGGTCCCGCCCACAGCTCCGCCCCCGCCCAACCAGGGCCCACTTTGGCCCGGGTCCCGCCCCCAGACACCCTGGCTCCGCCCCTCCGGGCCAGGCGGAGAAGCAGAGGCTCGCCCAGCCTGCGGGGGCGCAGGTGAGGATTGTGGGGCTCGGCCCGGGAGAGGGGCGTTCACGTTCGTGCTGCTCTCCCCGCGCCCCGAGGCCGCCGCCTCTGCCCGAGACTTCGCGGGCGGGGCGGGCGGGGGTGCCTCCCGGGCCAGCTCCCTTCCCGCCATGCCTCACTTCGCTGTTTATTTCCCCCAGGCCCGAGGCCGAGGCCGAGGACGCGGCAGTGCTGAGCAGCCGGCAGGATCGCCGTCTGTAAGTGGGTGTCTTCAAGGCGCGAGGGACCCCCTGGTGCAGGCCTCTGTGTTCACACCACCCAAGCTGAGCCGCGGTTGAATGGGGGACCCAAAAGCCCAGCCCAGGACACCTTGCTGGCATCTGGTGGTCCGGCCCTCTACCGCAGTCAGCAAATATGAGGATCCCGTGCTGCAGCTGCAGCTTGAACAGCAGGTGGAAGCCCCCCACCAGAAGCCCACCGCAGGCGGGCAGTTGGCGTGGATTTAGAGCTCACCCTCTCTCAGCTGGTGTTGCATGGGTGTATGGGTTGCATGGTGGCTGCTGCCGCGCCAGCCATTATACCAAGTCAGGAAGAAGGTGACTACAATTAATTTCATGAAAGCAAAAGCTCCACCATTTCCTGTGCAGCATTTCCCTACAGTTGGTGACATGAGAAAGAAGGGACATATGGCCCTCCTAGTGACACCATCCTGGGTCCCCTTGAAGACACTCTCAGGGAAAGAGCAGACACAGAAGCGTGTGGGCATCTCCCAGTGTCCTGGCATCAGGGTTGGCACCCTGCAGATCCTGGGCCTGCTGCGCCCCAGGCAGCTCTGTGCAGGACCCCAGCCCTGCCCAGCCACGGCCACCAGGAGTGGGGTCCTGTGGCCACCTGGGTGGGACCTCCCAGCTGGGGCTGGATGCCAGGAGGGGACCCTGGGGCCAGGCGATGGGAGGTTGGCGCCAAGGTCAGAGGGCGAGCACCCTGTGTGGGCAGTTGCTGTGCTGCTCAGTGACCCCATGGCCCCTGAGGTGCCAGGCACCCTGTGCATTGCCAGGTGGCAGTGATGCAGCCAGCCCAGCCCGCCCCACCCCTGCTGCTCTGCACAGCCTCCTGGATCCTCTGGCCCCTCTCAGGGGCAGCAGGCAGGGGAGGGGCGGAGGACACAGCTGTGGCACTGCCCCAGCTGAGCAGACCTCTTCCAGGCCAGCCAGGCTGTACCAGCCACCACCTCTGGTCATCCCTGTCCTTGCCAGCTCTCCCGAACACAGCCCAGGGCTTTATCTGCAGTGCCAGGGAGGAGGGCACTTATCGACTAGGCCCAGCGGCCAATGTGGTGGGGTCCTTACCCCGGGAAGGGTGGCTGCAGCGGGTGCAGCCTCCTGATAAATGCAACCTTCAGGAGGCCCTTGGCAGGGCTGGGGTCAGGGCTGGCTTGGGGGACTGGAATTCCTGCATGGTCTTGTCTTCCCTCTGTCACCTGGGCAAGTTACTGTGTAACCACTCTGGAAACCAGCCTGTCTGAGTGTCCCTTCCCGCCCTCCAGGCTGACCCACCCTAGCGGCCTGCCTCAGCGTTCGGGGTTTGGCACCATGGAATCCCTGGAGAGCCGTGTCCACTACAACAGGTGGGAGGACAGCAGCCAGGAGGAAGTCAGGGTGGCCGGCGCCGTGTCGAGCACAGAGGCTTCATGCTGCAGAAAGTGAGTGGGGAAAAATGCCCACCCAGCTCCAACTGCTGGGCACCCCTAAGAGACACCAGCTGTCCCACTCACAGCCCAGCTTGTGCCAGTGCCGGGTGTCCAGGGCCAGGCCTTGGGTGGGTGGGTGTCCAGCTCCAGGGATCACACAGTTGCCCAGGGCTCAGCCCTCTGTGTACGTGGGAGGGCCCTGGCTCACCGCTGGGTGGTTCTCACCCTAGGATCTCCCAGAAGCTGTGCACAGGCAAGTTGGGCATCGCCATGAAGGTGCTGGCTGGCGTGGCCCTTTTCTGGGTCATCTTCATCCTGGGCTACGTCACTGGCTACTATGTCCACAAGTGCAAATGAAGGCTGCCCAGCTCACACACATGCACAGGCCCCGAGGGCAGGGCAGTGCGCGGGGCAGCGGCGGTGCCCTTGCTGCCCACCGTGAGTGTGCAGGCGAACAGGGACACATGCACAGAGCATGTTCCCAACACGGAGGTCCCTCGCAGGACCCAAGACATGCCCCGTGTGGTGTGTGGATCCCCAGAGACCCAGCTTGGCAGCAGCTGCAGAACACCCCAGGTCGGCCTTGCAGCCACAGCCCTCTGCCTGGGCCCCTCGAGCCCAGGCCACACTGGGTGCCATCCTCCCACCCAGGGGCCCAGATCCGAGGCAGCCCCTGGCCCTGTCTCCTCATCCTGTGAGGAGACCCCCAACGTGGGTAGCTGCTTTGCCAGGGACAGACCCTGCCATACCACGTGCCTTCAGGACATCCCACTTCCCCCAAGTGCCCTGCATGGGTCAAATGCCTGTGTATAATAAACATGCTGGAAGATGGGCCTCTGACCTGTGTGCAGCCTGGCTGCGCAGCCAGGCGTGACCAGTGGAGGGCCTACCCCCTGCTTGGCTCTGGGCTCTGGAATGTGCCTGCCCCTCCTGCTCGGGGCCTCTTGCAAGGACAGAGGACCTGGATGTGGCAACCAGCTCCCTCCTCACCTGACCCTGTCTCAGCCCTGCAAATGACATTGGTGGTGGTGGTGGGGTGTTTTTCCCAGAGGATGTTGCCGTCCTCACTGGTTTAAGAGGGAGACATAGGAGGGGCTGGGCCGGGCTGGGGGGTGGGTAGTTTCCTCCCCACAGGTCCCAGGCTAGGACTGCCAGTGGGTGAGCCAACTGCTGGGCCACTGTAACACTGTACTGATGACACCCCCAGTCCACTGGCCGAAGCTGTCGCAGGCTGGGCTCCAACATGGGGACCGTGGTGGGCACAGAAGGCTGCCAGCGCGCACTTGCCCTGGTCCGCAGGGCACCCAGCCAGGCACCCTCAGATGGGAGCTGTGTTATCAGACACAGACCGAGTGGGGCTGAGGACAAGGAGGGACACTTTGAGTATGAGGGCCGATGACCGGGGCTTTGGGCTGATTCAGCACTCAGGCTCACACTGGCAGCCGCCCAGCACCCAGGCAGAGCCGAGGCTCCCATGGGCTGGGGACCCCCTGCCTGCAGCCTTGGGCGACCCTCAAGTGAGCAAGCCTAGGCCCAGCTCCATCCTTGGCTCCAAGGACTCCAGGCAGGTAGCAGACAGCAGGGAAGGAGGCCTGGCCTAAGGGACTGTCTTGGGTGGGGCTCCGAGCTGGGCAGGGATGGCAGAAGCAGCCGTAGGCCGTGGTGTCCCCATGTGGGCAGTGCTGGGCTGTGTGGATTCTACGGCTCTCCAGTAACAGTGCAGGGAGGATCCCTGCAGGGCTGCCTCTTATCAAATGACTTTTTATTAGAGTTGGATGGGAAGAGGAAACACCAAAGAGGTTTCTGCTAAGTTAGAATGTCCCCAGATGTTACACATGCTCAGCCTGCACCGGAGAAAAGCTCGGCTGGGGCTGGGCTGGCCAGTGCATCAGCCACTGCGCCCCAGAGCCGGAGGCAGGGGGCGCCACTGCCATGCTGTCCCTCCCAGCAGGGCAGACTCCCGGGCAGCCTCAGCACCAGTAGCCCTGATGGCCTGACAGTGACTTGCACAATGACGAGCAGGGCCACGTGCTGGCAGATGTCCAGCACGGTGACAGGAGCCACCCTGAAGGAAAGTGCTGTGGCACCCGTGGCAGCTGGCCAGGCCCCAAGGAGCTGGGCCTCATCTCCCAGTCCCTAGCAGTACCGGCAGGAAGGCTGTGGGGACCAGACTGTGGGGTCTGCTGGGGAGGCAGGGCAGTGGCCCACGCCTTGGGGTGCTCTGGAAACCCACGCAGCTGGCACGCACCGCCAGTGAGGGGCTTGGGCCTTTCTGGCTCTGCAGCTCAGGGAGGCTGCTGCCAAGATGCCAGAGAACCCCATCCCCCTTTATGGGGGTGTGAAGCTGTCCAAGCAGAGACCACGCCATTTTCCCCTGGAGCCAGACGGTAAGGCGATGAGGCCACCAAAAGGCCCCAGCAGCTGCTGGGCCTGGGGACAAGCTCTGGCTCCAGGGTGGGGGCCTGTGCTGGGCACGCGCGCGCACACACACACACACACACACACACAAAGAGACATGGAGCACACCTATGACACAAGAGGAGGCAAATGCTGGGTTGGCACGTGTACTTGTGACTTTTGGCTCAAGACCTAAGCCGTCCTGGCCACTCCTCCTGTGCTCTCAGCAGCTGACGACCACGGCCAAGGGACCACTGTCTGCCCCCGATGCCTGCCTGTGGCCCAGCGCCAGTGATGCCACCCAGCCCAGCACGCAGACGTGGTGCTGCAGTGGCCTACCAAATCCAAGTCATTTTTAAAAACATTTTTTAAATAAAAAAAATGAAGACCATTGCAGCTGGGCACTGTAATGTCCTGCAGCAGTGCCACGTGGGGACACGACAAAGATGCCATCTCCGAAGGGGCCACGTGCAGCCAACACAATGCCCAGGTGGCAGGCGCCTCGTGTTGCGGACACCGTCCTCCGCTGTCCCCCGTCAGGTGTCTGCAACAGCGTTTTCCGGCATTTGAGGCGTCCCGAGAAGTAGGAAAATCAGTTTAGTGTTGTACAGGCGACACGGCATGGTTCACGTCAGAATCACCCAGGAAACAACCAAGAATACACAAACCTCAAAGACACCAAGCAACGACCCCCGTCCCCGCAGAGTCCCCACTGAGGCTGGGCTCCTCAGCGAACCACAGTCACATGCGGTGGGACAGCAGCCAGGTCGGCCTTGGATGGGTACACCACCCTCAGGCCGCCCTCCAGGTCCACCACGCGGACCTGCTCCACCACCAGGGGGCACTGCCCGTCCTGCCCGGCACACGGGCTCCTCTGGGGACCTGGAAGGTGTCCAGAACCAGTATCAGCCTCTGTGTCAGAGATCGACTCTTCCTCTTTATTTTCTAAAGTGTTCTTGTTCATTTCTGCCATTCTCTGCAAATGAAAAACATCTTTTTAACTGTGCAGCGAACGGTGCCCCAGAGAGACAGGCTGCTGGGCTGGACCCGGGCGCAGCAGGGGCTGGTGCTCACCAGGACGAGGGTGTCCATGATGTCTTTGCAGATCTGCAGGCTCGTGGCACTGGTGACCTCCAAGAACAAGTCACAGGTGCTTTTCTTAATCTTAAAAACAGTGAGAGAGATTTCAGAGCAGAGCAGAGTTGCCTAAAGTGGGTCTCAGCTGCTGACATGTATCCTCGAGAAAAGCCGAGGTGAGGGGAGCCACCCTGACTACCCCCGCTGCCTTCTGAGGTGCAGTGCAGGCCACAGTGGCACCCCTCCTGCCGTGCAGAGGTGTCTGTCACACAATGGCACTGGAGGGGACTTTCTGAGGAGGACCCCGCCCACCTTTGTCTTCTCGCTGTTCGTTATGGGCGGGAACGAGATCACCTCTCCAGCTGCGTCCACCAGGCAAGGGTAGTTCTCCTTGCCGTCCAGCAGGTGCAGGTACCTGTGTGGGGGAGCATGGTGGCAGGCGCGGAGCAGCACCGCACAGCGCTCCCTGAAAGATGAGCAGCTCCCCACGGCCACATATGACGTGTGCAGAGCTGGCTAGGGCTTGTTCTTAGCTCCTGGGCCGGCCTTCGGCACTGCACGTCGGTCCGGCCGTGCTGCCGTGCAGTCTCTGTGACCCGCCCCGTCACGCTCCTGCTGGCTGCGGCAGCCTTGAGATACATGGCGTTGACTTCTTCGCGGGGCACAGAGTGCACATCAGAGCTGAAGCACTGAGCCCGGACCTAGCCGCTGCCTCAGCCGAGCCACGCAGACCCCCACGCTGCACGCCGCACGCTGCAGAGGGGCTCCTGGGCCTCCCGCCCAGCTCGAGGCACGCCCCTACTGCCCGTGCCTCTCGCGACCACGCACCCTGGAGCCACGCCCCTCTTCACAAAGGAATAAAACTGGCTACAGCCTGGGATCAAGGCCTTTATTGCAGAGAGTCAGCACCCCGCTGGACCTGGGTCCCTCGGCGCCCCACCACAGCAGCAAACCTGCCTCAGCGTCTGTTCTCACCGTGGGCTGCATGGGCATGGTAGGTTGGAACTGACTTGCTAGAACTCCAGCAACTTCCCATGGGACGGCACACACAAACTTCCCGGACCTTGATGAGGACCGGGGAGGGCTCTCTGGAGCAGGCAGCTGCTCAGCAGGCCAGCGGCTGGCTGGGCAGTCAGAGCTCTTCAGACAGTGGGAGCAGCACCAGGCGTGGGGGTCGTGTGGCAATCAAGCTTGGGCAGGGCAGTCCCTGCATACAGGAACCCCATGTAGCCCAGCACTCCGGGACCCTGGTCAGGGCCTCCGGTTGGCTCCTTTTTGTCCTGTCCTAGCACCGCTGGCCTCTGCACAGCCCCGTCAAGCTCAGGGTGTTTCCTGAGGCACTGAGGAAGGGACCCCCGTACCCTGACAGCTCCCACACTCGCGAGGGTGGGTATGGGGACCCATGGGTGTAGCTGGCCCACCTGTGTAGCCCGGAGACGCTCTGCCGCTTCTTCTGCTTTCTCTGCTCCTCAGCCTCGAGCTGCAGCTGCCGCACCAGCTCGTGCGCCTTAGCCTCCTTCCGCCCCAAGGGCACGATCTGCAGGGCAGAACCAAGAGGCGAGCTGGCCTCGCACACCCGGCTCCCAGCTCCCATCTGAGCCTCGGGTGCCTCCTCTCCAGCTCCTGCAAGTCTCTCTGGGAAGCCAGCAGGCAAGTGAACAGAGTGGGGAACAAGGGTGGGGTGGGGCCTGTAACACTGCGCCCTGTGTGGCCATACCGGAAGCTGCCTGGACGCAGTGCCAGCTCTTAAGGACTGAGCCGAGCCTCCCCTCAAGCCCGGCTCTAGCACCAGTGGGTCTGAATTTCTGGATCCTCAGAATCCAGTGGGGAGATGGGCCGAGCTGGCCAGGCCAGGGGTCAGTCCCCCCACCGGCGCTTGTGTCGGATGCAAAGCAGTGCCACTCCAGCTGCCCTGCGTCCTACACAGAAACACTGTGAAAAATGAGGCAAGCCAGAGCGGGCCGCGCGAGCTTACCTGGAGGTCCTGGGGTGGCCGGGCTGTGTACAGCAGGGGCGCTCGCACGCTGCGGAGGTCGTGCGTGGCAATGGTGGCCACTGTCCTCCTGTCACAGAGCGCCTCGTGGAGCTTGGTCTGTAACGGGCAGGAGTGCGCTTGGCCTGCTGTGTGCCGCGAGGCCCTGCTGCCCGCATCAGTGCTGGCGACACTGCGGCCTCTGCTCCAGCTGCGCTGCCCTGGCCACTGCCAGGAGCCCCCTGAGATTCTGAAGAGCCTACCCTGAGGCAGAACTTGGCAGACCCAGTATGCCTCCGAGGAGAAGCGCCAGCCCCAGCCCCACCTGTCCTGCCTAGGCATGGCCTGGGGGAGAGGCCTCCTGGGCATGGACATACGTGCTTTATATTTTAACAGTGGGGCAGACATCCCTGGAAGCCACCTCATGAGGTTAGTCTGATCCAAAGCCAGGCAGCTCTCGGAAGAGCGTGCCACCCAGACCTGTCACTTCCGTGCTACCTGCTGGGAAATTAGAGGCGCAACTTCCGCAGCAACCAGAAGACCGGCCCGCCCAGCCCAGGTGCAGTCTCGCCCGCTGTCAGTGGCAATGGGGGGCTCCCAGGGCAAGTGCTGCGCGAGGGCTGCGTGCAGAGTGGTGAGGGACCTGATCCTCTGAGCCAGGCTGCTGTCCTCCCACTCCCAGGCGGGGCCAGCTGAGCCTACCCAACCTGCACTCTGTGTCGCCAGGGCATGGCGCCCCATGCCCTCGCCCCTCGCCCATGCCCGGGCCCCACCTGGAAGGTGAGGAAGCGCTTGAGTGCATTCCCGGGCTGCAGGTCCATGCCTCGTACCACAGCACCCACGATGTATGGCCGCACGTCCCGTACTTCGGGGCTCACTCTGATGGTCAGGGGCGCAGGGTTTTCAGACACGTGCAGGACCTTGAGCAGCAGCCTCGCTGCGTCGGCCACCTCCTCCTCGCCCTCACCGCTCTCCCGCCTCTGCTTGCGCTCTCTCTTCTTCTTTCGGGCATCTTCCTTCTCAGAGCCATCGGCCCGGCCCCGGGCCCGGCTCCCCCGGCCGCCGACGCGCAGGTACTCCAGGATGGAGCGGGTCTGGCAGCCACTGACCATCTTCTCCAGGCGCTTGTCCCGAAGCTTGTTGCCCCGGAAGTTGATGTCCTTGAGCTTGGGGCAGTCTGCCAGCTCAGCCGGGATCTCGCTCAGCTGGTTGTTGGAGAGGTCCAGGGTCTGGGAGGACACAGAGGGAGGTAAGGGGACCAAGGAGATCCCAGGCCCTGCTGGCACAGGTGGACCACCCTGTCTATGGCAGGCTCTGGGAGCTGCGGCCATGCTGTGGAGTCCATCACCCTACTGAGTCCCCCCGTCCCCAGGGATGGGGCCCACCCGAGGGGTCTCTCCAGGGGATGTGACTGCTGACCCTTCCTAGGGTGCACATGGCTCATTCCCCTGCTGGGTTACAGGCAAGGCACCAACTCCAGGCAGCTCTCAGTCACCAGCTAGGGGAGAAGGGGCCTGGCTACCGACACACACTGTGTTCAGGAAACCTGCACTTCTGCCCTTGAGCAGACTCCCAGAGAGGGGAATTTTAAAAATTAAGCAAAAAAGAAAATAGCGCAAAACCTCCAAGCAGCCCTAGTCCTCCTCCTACAGAATCAGGGAGTCACCAGCAACACAGCGCCCATGCTCCCCGGTGCCCGGTGGGAGGGGAGCTGTGAAGCGGCTGGTAGTGACGGCTCTGGCCTCTGTGGGGCTTGGAAAAGGCAGCGGGGCCATCGTATCCGGGCCTCAAAGGCCCTCAGACATGATGGTGAGGAGGAACCTTTCACTGCCAGCACCACTGGCTGCCCTGGGCCGATGCCCACTTCCTGAGTGGGGTGGGGCTCCCTCAGGTGCAGGGTCCCCGCCCCTAGGTGGTCCCCACACCTGCCCTGTGCTGCTGCCTCCCTTCTGGAGATTGGCAGGAAACACTGCCTTTTCATGCCCTCAGGGCCAGTGGGGCGCTCTGCATGGAGGCCATGACCTGACCCTCTGGGGTGGCTGCCATGGCGGACCCCCAGCCCCCACCCTAGGGCTGAGTCCTTAGTGTGCGGTGTGGAAGCTGGAGGGGTGGGGACTCTGCCACGTTTTGGCTGGGGGAGGATAATCTCGAGGCTCAAGGAAACAGAGGACTCTGCTGGAACCTCTGGATCAGGCTGTCAGGCTGGGGACCCTGGAGTGAAGGTGACACCGGTCAGCACACACAGCCCCAGAGATAGAACAGAAACTTGGAGAAAGCGAAGAGTCAGAATAGCCCGGTAGGACGATGGAGAAAGAGAACTCACATTCCTACAGGACAGAGCTCGGGACCTGAGGCCAGCCTAGACACAGGTACCCTGGGGGACAGGGCTGCCATCAAGCCCACAGAGTGGGTCAACATGCCCAACACCAGAGTCACCGCAGGTGGGGGAGGCCTCAGCCAAAAGGCTCGGGATCAGAGGGTCTGCCTGCACCTGGCACTGTTTCAGATTTGTAATGCCCACATGTGTGCGTGTGTGCTGGGGCCAAGCCCCAACCCAACAGCGCGGAGCCGCACTCACACAGCTCAGCGGCACCTGCGCGCTGTGGAATTTCTCCTGGTGTACGTCAGCCATGCAAGCAGGGTGGGCTGAGGGCGTCTCAGATTCCGGGGTCTGGATTATCAAGTCCAGCCTGTACTTTGTGCCTCTCCAGACCCTCCCTGCTCCTGGCTAGACAGAGCATCACCCAGAACTCTTCCTGGCCTCCGCAGGACCCACTGCTCCTGAGCCCTGGCTCCAGCGCTCAGCCTTCCCTCCTTCCTGCCCTCGGCTGGGAAACTCTCGCCATTCCATGCCAACTAGCTCAGGGCAGTGCTGACTCCCCTCCCCCATGAAATGCAGGCTGCTGGTGGCCTGAAAGCAGCAGGCTGGAAAGCCAGGGCAGCAGGGAGGGTGACAGGCTGCTTCAGGAAGAGCCTGCTGAGAAGGGGTCCCCAGAGAGGGCCTCACCACAGGACAAGAGCACAGCACAGCATGAAGCAAGAACTGACTGGTAGCTCAGGGTCTGCCTGGGGGCTCTGTGGAAACAGGGAGGGCAGCCAAAGACACAGCTCAGGGTGCTGGGTGCAAAGCCCCTGATTCGGAGCCCTTGCTAAGGACTCCGCAGCTCTGCTGACCGGGCACACCTGCTGCCTGCTCACAATTTTGCTCAGCGCGGCCCAGGACCCAGAACAGTGCCCTGTGGTGGAAGCAAAGCCCGTTTCCTGCATGAAGGGTGAGCCCAACAGGAAGCAGGGAGCCCCTGAGCTGTCCTAGGCAGGGAGGGCATGTGAGGAGGCTGCAGCTGAGCAGGGGCACTGGGCTCCCACGCCCTTGCAGCCCCTGGACAGGGTGGGGTGGCTGTGCTGCTAGGGCCCCACACCTTGCTGGATGCCTGCTTGGACCCCTGAGGGAGCACAGGCCACCTGGCCTGCAGACAAGGGCTCTGTGGGGTTCTGCCCGGTCCTGCATGTGCATGGAACCTGCTGCTGGGAAAGGAACCCAATGTTGTCGCTATGAGGGTGGACACCAGACAGCCCCATGCGAGGTGCAGAAGGGACTGCCCCTGGGCAACAGTGGCCATACACTGGCTCCACAAACTAAGGACAACAAAAGACTGGGGAAGGGCTGGCGATAGCTCAGCGGACTAAGCACTTGCTTAAGTAAGCACAGGGGTCAGGGTTTGATCACTGGCATGCTGTGCTGGCCCCGCCCCTGGGCATGCTGAGCTGGCTATGGAGTTGGGCGTGGTGGTGCATGCCTGTAACATCAGCAGTAGGGAGGTAGAGATCAGGAGAAGAAAGCAGTCCCCATGTGAACTACACACAAAGGTCAGTCCCAGAGCTAGGAGAAATCCCGACACAGAACTTTGCTAGCTAAGGTGCGACTGTGGCCACGCTGGAAGTCCCAGGTGGACAGCACCTCAAGCCTGCATGCTGGCCACTTGGATGCAGGCAGAAGGGACACAATAATTGTGCCCACAGAGTCAACTGTACCCTAGAAGGACCAGGATAAGGGCCATCCTCTGGAGGGGAGCACAATGAACAGATCCGAGGCCAGGGAGAGAAAACCAAGCCCAAGGACAGGTACAGGCCAGTCTGCCCCTCAGTTCCGTGTCCCCAGGGGCTGGGGTGAGTGAGGGCAGGTCAGGGCTTCGGGCTGCACAGTTCTAAGCCTGGTGGCAGCCCACAGCCAGCTGAGCAGCGTGCACCTGTGTGGGTGAAGAGCGTGCATCTGTCTGTCACATGCAAAAGTCACTGTGTAAGGGGCACACCTGGCCCATCAAACTTCTGGGAAACCAAAAACTCTACAGATAAGAAGACAGCAGACAGTGTCTCCATGACATGTCACTGTTAGCTGTAAAGGGACTCCTAAGCCGGAAGCCCATGGCACCTGAGGAGGCCCACCCACAGCCTCAGACATTTTGCAGAGTACCCTACCTGCTTCGCCCAACTACTACTACATAGACAAATCTTTCTGCACAAACATTTGCACAAAATCAGATGCATGTCTCATGTATAACATGTGCAGCCGATCGTACACTTCTTTTTTCATGAGATGTCTACACAAACTTGACCGGGGCGCAGAGCGGGAAGCAGCCGCGCAGGGCTGCCTCCAAAGGGAGATCCAGGCGGAGCACGGGTCGGGACGCAGCTCCTCCGACCTGTTGTCACTCAGCAGATTTAATGGGCGCCGGCCAGCTCGTGCCACGCCCTAAGCTGGGACCTGAGATCTCCGCGAAACATGCCCGCGAAAAGCCCGAAGCGTCACCGCGAACAGGCTCCCCCACCTCAAGGCAGAGAAACGCTGAACAGAAAACCGATCACGCGGCATCGCGCAAACTCCACTCCTTTGAGGCTCCTTAATCCAGTTCACAAATGTTAACAGACTAGACACTGGTCGTCCCTATGCTGATCAAAGTGGGGGCCAAGTTTGCTAACAGCTGCACACCAGCAAGCCACTTCAGGGACCCCTCGGTGCGTTGGGCAGGCTCCCCCGAGCGCCGCCCCGAGGCCTGGTGGGCTCCCCAAGCCGCCCCGGCCGGCCCCGCTGACCTTGAGCGAGGCCAGGTGCGCGATGTCGGGGCTGAGCTCCCGCAGGCGGTTGTCGGCGGCCGCCAGCTCGCTGAGCAGCGGCAGCGCGCCGGGCCGGAAGAGCGCGGCTGGGAAGGCGTCCAGGAGGTTGCTGGTGAGGTTGAGGCTCTGCAGGCGCGGGGCGCAGCGCGCCAGGTCGGCGGGCAGCTCGCGCAGCCGGTTGCCGCTGAGGTTGAGGCTCTGCAGCTGCGGGAGGCCGGGCGGCTCGGCGGGGCCCAGGCCCTGGCCCGGGGGCAGCGCCTCCAGCTCGTTGCCGGACAGGTCGAGCACGCGCAGCGCCGGCAGCGGCCCCAGCTCCGGGCTCAGGCCGG